TTATTTGGGGGCCGAGAAAACGGCAGATGTTCCCACTGGTGAACCAAATGCTGGATCCACAAATTGTTTTCCTTGAGTCAAAGGAGGCATGTTCGACACCCCGATTTGTCCTGGTCCTTACCCTGAAGTACAGGTGGCCCTCGACTTACGGCAGTTTGTTTAATGGCCATTCGAAATTACAGCGGCACTGGAAAACCTGACTTTGGGCCGTTTCTCGCACTTACGATGGTGGCAGCATAAATAGGAGTCTGTTGCTAAGCCTCTGAGTTTTGATCCCGGGCTCATGTGATCCCCTTTTGTGATCTTCTGTCAGTGGGGAAGCCAGATTCACTTAATAACCGTCTGAGTAATTTAACTCCTGGCAGTGATTTCGCTTAGGCAGCTGTGGAAGGAACCCGGCGCTTCCCAGGCCTACATCTCCCAGAATCCCTAATTCTCATGGAATGCTAGGAATCGCAGTTCTGGATGTAAATAAGTACGGATGACACGAACCCATCCGGGACGCCATTTTACAAGCCAAACGCAAAATCTCCCAGATGTGCCATCCAATTAGCAACAGTGCCTGGTTTTCCTCTCAGCTTAAGCCAAGAAGTCTCTATTAGCATTCGGCATGCCCGGTTTCTATAAATACAACCCAAAGCGAGGCTCAATTGCCAGGATCTTGGCCACTCTGGCGACGTTTCAGCGGTCCAGGCCTAACACACGCACTCTCCGCGTTAATCCTCAGCCTCTCCAGAAGGAACCGCCGCCGATTTTTAATTAACCTGATTTAGTGGCTGAACACAACACTTGTAAAAATGAACAACTGGAACCAATAGTTATTTATTCTGGCAAGGAGTGTGTCTCATTAACTCCACAGAGCCGGCTTTACAGTGTCAATCCTGAAGTGAGCCTGGCTGAAGCCATCTTCAAGGCTTCAGGGTTGCCACGCAGCCGTGGGAGGGAGGAAATAGTTGGATGGGGTTTTGTAGGCAAAACTCTTGTTTTCCTCTGGGAACCAAGGGCATTCTCGCAGGTGGATGGCCAGAGGAGGAGCTGGTAACCCAGCAACCAGCCAGCACTGGGATTGGACAGTGTGACCAGTGACTTGGAGGGAAGGGGAAAACTTTTACTTTTAATTAGGTGAAAGCCGCGGGAAACCTCAGAGTCGTCTTTCACCAGTTTGTGCCAAAATGATAAAAAACTAAAAAACTCCTCTTCGAGGAACTTGAGTACCTCGGAGTTCGTTTTCTACGGGTGCATGTTGTGGCCCGCCAGCGGCCAGCAGAGCTGGCAGCAGATTCGGACAGTGAGGAGGTTGGGGAGGAACATGGGCCAGTCCTGGAGTCTGGGGAAGGCTCTGATGAGGGCTCTGCGTCGGAGGCAGAGAGGGGGCCAGGGCCGAATGCCAGTTATCAGCTGCCTTCGGAGTCGGACATCAGTGGGGCAGATGAACAAGCTGGAGCCTGTTCCCAGTGTGTGCATGCACAGAGCTGCCAGGAGAAGGGAACAGCTAAGGAACAAGGGTCGACTCAGGAGTAAAGCCACAGGTGGATAGCGAACGGCCCCTCCCAGAGGGAATAAAAGAGGAGCGAAAGGGGAGTGGAGTTTGCAGGAGACAATTCGTTCGCTTAATTGGTTTGTGACTCCTTGGCAAGTTTTGAAGATATCGGTCTGGCAGCTCTCCAAGCCAGATAAGGTCTGTGACTGTAAATTCTTCCTTGAAAGACTTTGCTGGATGTGAATGAGAAGAATTCACAGTAACTTAATAAAAAGAGGGTTTTTTTTGTCGGGACCAGGAGTCTGCTTCATGCTCTTGGGAAGCCTAAGTCAGAACAGTGCATTACTTGGAATGCTGATATACATATTAAAGCAGTGTTCCCAAACCTTGGTCATTTTTGAAGATGGGTGGACTTCAACTCCCAGAATTCCTCAGCTGGCTGGCGAATTCTGGGAGTTGAAGTCCACCCATCTTCAAAAGTAGAAGGAAAAGAAGCTCATGTCCATTGATGCCTCCAAAGTCTTGAATTGGGACAAGGCATGAGAAGCTTGGGAGATGCCACCAAAGTCCCTGTTGGTGAATAAAGGAGTTGGTGAGAAGATCTTCCAGTATATGACCCAAAGCCACCTGAGCTGCTGGGCTCCATATATGTCTTGTCACAGTTACCGGAGCACAGGATAGGCCCAAGTCCTTGTAGGAACCTCTGGAACACCTGGCGGGCAAGGACGAGGAGAGCAGAAGACACATCTGCTAACCTAGGGAGACCTGCAAAACTGTTCTGTCCCCGTCCCACACGCACACACACCAACAGACGTCCAAGAGTTAAAAACCAAACCAGCCGACAAAATCCTTTTCCTTATGATAACGGAACTTGGCAGCAACCTAGTGGCTGCCTGCCAAGAGTTTACTTACGAAGGGAAGAGATAACTTCTCTCCGCTTCTGGTACATCAAAGTAAAATGCTCAATAATTACAGAGTAAATCAAGTCCAGAGATAATCCAGCAAAGTCTATAGCAAAAAGTCCGGTAATGCAGAATGGCGTGGAAGCTTTCAGCTTTGTTCGTCACAAGGTTTGACTGGCCACCACGCTCCCTTTTATACCCTGTGGGGTGTGGTCCAGTGACTCAGCCTAATCTCGGGCACGCCTTTTCTTCTGTTGCGCACGCTTATCTCTGCGACGCTGGCGTGGATCCAGCCAAGACTCATTACCCTCATTACTGTCCACCTGTGGCTGCGTGGACGTGCTTGGCCCCGGCCCTATCTCTTGCCCTTCGGCGGGCACCGAAGGCATTGCCAGAGAGGAGGGTCGTGGAGAGGGAGGCCTTGCCAACTCCTCTCCTTCACTCTCGGAGTCCTCTCCTGCCGATGACACAGGCTCAGGTAATGGAGCCACAACAAGAACAGAAGAGGGCCAGGGAATGGCTTCAGAGGTGCTAGCTTTGCCATCCAGAACATCTGCAGATGGCTGACCAGCGCAGGATGCTCAGAAGGCCTTCTCCTTATCCTAACCCCTCTTTTGGGTGCTGCCTTTCAGGATGCAGAATCTGGGACCCATCTTTGGATCCTGTAGGCGAGCCCTAAAGTTTCCCCAATCTCTTTACACTGGTGTCCATTCAAGTTGGGGGGCAGGTCTGACAGGAGCATCGTTAGCACCGATGAAGTTCCCTAGTCGTATAATGGAACGTCTGCAAGAAAACAACCAGAGAGCGCCAAGGACCGCACAGTCGACGTCGTTGCTCCTCTTCCTCCTCCTCCTCCTCCCTTTTACCTCTACAAACTCCATTCCTTCCAGCGCTGATGATGTTATTTAGCAGGGTCATGAAACGTCGACAAGGAAACAACCAAGTCCAGAGAGCCCGAGGGGACCCACAGTCCTCCTCCTCCTCCTCTCCTTCCCTCTTCCCCTCCTCCCTTTTACCTCCGCAAACCCCACTCCCTCCTAGCACTGATAATGTTACCTAGTTGGGTCGTGAAACGTCTGCAAGAAAGCCGCCAAGGTCCGAGAGCACCAAGGACCCTGCGGGAATGATAACATTGTACTCACATATCCTGCTAAATCAGAGGTCCTCAAACTTGGCAGCTTTAAGACTTGTGGACTTCAACTCGCAGAATTCTCCAGCCAGCTAAGCTGGCTGGAGAATTCTGCGAATTGAAGTCCACAAGTCTTAAAGCTGCCAAGTTTGAAGACCTCTTTGCTAAACCAAGAAGAAGAAAACGAAAATCTCTTTATAGGCCACTGCATCTGCGGGATGCATGTGGGGTGTCAGTCGGCCATTGTTCCTCCCGGCCAATTTTGATTAAACTCAGTCTTGAAACTCAGTCTTGAAACTCAGTCTTGAAACTCAGTCTTGAAACATACCCACACGCCCAAGTTGCTATTCTGGAAGCAATAAAGCTGATTTTATTAGCAGGAACTGCCCGGGGAATCCTTAGGGCTGAAGACAAGCCCCTACCTGAAATAAAATATAATGATAGGCCATCTCTCTCTCTCTCTCTCGCTCCCCACACACCAAAGGTACTCCAGGAATGGCAGAGGGCGATAAATTAAAATAAATAAATTAAGACAGGGCTGGCCTGACTCTATAGGTCTAATGGCTCTTTGAGGGGGGGGAAGCATGGACCCAGTTGGACAGCTATTGTTTCCGAGCAGATCGCTTTGCCAGCTGGTTGCCGTTTTGCGATTCCCGGTTGCCGTTTTTTGTGTTGCTGTGAAAGTTTCCTTCCTTCCTTCCTTCCTTCCTTCCTTCCTTCCTTCCTTCCTTCCTTCCTTCCTTCCTTTCTTCCTTCCTTCCTTCCTTCCTTTCCTTCTTTCCTTCCTTCCTTCCCTCCCTTCCTTTCCTTCTTTCCTTCCTTTCCTTCCTTCTTTCCTTCCTTTCCTTTCCTTTCCTTCCCTTCCCTTCCCTTCCCTTCCTTCCTTCCTTCCTTCCCTTCCTTCCTTCCTTCCTTCCTTCCTTCCCTCCCTTCCTTTCCTTCTTTCCTTCCTTTCCTTCCTTCTTTCCTTCCTTTCCTTTCCTTCCCTTCCCTTCCCTTCCCTTCCCTTCCCTTCCCTTCCTTCCTTCCTTCCTTTCCCTTCCTTCCTTCCTTCCTTCCTTTCCTTCTTTCCTTCCCTTCCTTCCTTTCCTTTCCTTCTTTCCTTCCTTTCCTTCCTTCTTTCCCTTCCTTCTTTCCCTCCCTTCCTTTCCTTCCTTCCTTTCCTTCCTTTCCTTCCTTCCTTTCCTTCCTTCCTTTCATCCCTTCCTTCCTTTCCTTCCTTCCCTTCCTTCCTTCCTTCCCTCCCTCCCTCCCTCCCTTTCCTTCCTTCCTTCCTTCCTCCTTCCCTTCTTTCCTTCCCTTCCTTCCTGTCCTTCTTTCCCTTCCTTCCTTCCATCCTTCCTTCCTCTCTTCCCTTCCTTCCTTTTCTTCCTTCCTTCCTTCCTTCCTTTCCTTCCCTCCTTCCTTCCTTCCTTCCTTCCTTCCTTCCTTCCTTCCTTCCTTCCTTTCCTTCCTTCCTATTAAACCATCCGCTTTCTTTCCTCTGCAGGCTATCCTGCGGGATACCCCACCGCAGCCCCCACCTACAACCCCAACATCTATTCGACCTCCGGCCCAGGTTACGCCCCAGGTAAATTGTTTCCCCCCCCGTGTGTGTGTGTGGTTGTGTATTCATCTGTCCGTCCTGTGTGTTGTTTCGCAGCTGCTTTCGGGGGGGGGGCTGGCTTCTGTGTAGCGGGGTCTGTTTTTTAGGGTCCTTTCCACTCGCTCGACGGGTTATCCGCACGTCATCCTTCGTTCTTTTACAAATATATCCTAACGTCCAATGCCTCTTGTATACGCTCACTGAGAATCGAAGGGCTGCTAGTCCTCTACTTATGACCACAATTGAGCCCCGCAACGGGTTGCTAAGTCCTTAAGTCAGCTTTGCCACCGGTTTTTTTTGCCCCCGTTGTTAAGCAAATCCCTGCAGTTCTCAAGTAAACGGTGTAGCCGTTAACCGAATCCGGGTTGCCCCATTGACTTTGCTTGTTGCAAAAAGGTGAATCACGTCACCGCCGGCGACGGATCGGAACGGTCATAAATAGGAGTCAGTTGCCAAACCTCTGAATTTGGACCACGTGACCGTGGGGAATGTTGCAACGGTCGTTAAGTGTGACAAACGGCCCTAAGTCTACTTTTTTCCAGTGCTTTTTATGAAGGTCACTAAATGAGCTGTTGTAAGCCGAGGACTACCTGTAGATCAGTGTTTCTCAACCTTGGAAGCTTGAAGATGGGTGGACTTCAACTCCCAGAATCCCCCAGCCAGCGTTGCTGGCTGGGGGATTCTGGGAGTTGAAGTCCACCCATCTTCAAGCTTCCAAGGTTGAGAAACACTGCTGTAGATAAAAACTTCTGAAAAGATCTCGGCTCCCCTTAAATAAAAATAATAATAATAATAATCCTGCAAAATTCAGTTTGGTAACATAAAAGTTAGGAGGGAAATGATTTTATTTGGACGCAAAAAAGATTTGCAGAGAGGCCAAGCTTTACAGTACATTTCCAAATTTAGGACGAAATTTAGAAATTTAGCGACCTCAAATCACCGCTAGATTTAAAATCTTAAAAGTCTCGCTGCACGTCAGTCTATAAACCTATATAAAGGGCATTTTGATATATACAGTTAATTCAAAATATTTAGTCTCCCCTTGGGTTCGCTGCAAAGAACCCCGGTTTGAAAAGATGGGAGTGAATCTTAAAGCTACCAAATTTCCTCACCAAGTATATTATATTTGGGTAGGTTTTTGGGAGGGGAAAAAAATTTGGATTTTAGCTTCAGAATAATGCTGTGATTTAATTCAGGCTGATAGCAGTTTTCGTTTTCTTGCCAGGCAGAAAAAAGCGAGTCAATATTTCTGCCCTTTAAAAATCAGTGCATTTTTTTATTTTTTTAAATCTAATAAAGTTTGTTTTTTTAAAATAAAAATAAATAAATAAAAATAAAATAAAAATAAAAATCAGAGCAGAAAATAAACTTTCAGGATCGTCAAAGCGGGTTTTCCACGAAAGCCTTTATATTGAGTGGATATAGGTAGTCCTCAATTTACAACGGTGACCATTCAAAGTTACAACAGCACTGAAAAATATGGATTTAGGACCGGTTTTCACACTTAACGACCGTTTCCGCATCCTTGTGTGGTCACATAATCAGAATTCAGATGCTTGGCAACTGGCATGTACTTACGCCGGGTTGCAGGGTCCCTGACTCCCTCTTGCGAATTTCTGACAAAGTCGACTGGGAAGCCGGATTTCACTTAACAATCGTGTTACTAATTTAACTTCAGTGATTCGCTTAACAACCGTGGCAAGAAAGGTCGTAAACCCGGGGAAGGGGGGGAGAGAAACTCACTTAACCAATGTCTCACTTAGCAACAGAAATGTTGGGCTCCATTGTCGCCGTAAGTCGAGGACCGCCAGTACAATTCACAGGTGCCAGGGCAGAAATGTTTGCAGAGCCGTGCAAAATATTTCCAATTTATTTATTTATTTTATTTTATTGGTTCGATTTATATGCCGCCCTTCTCCGGAGACTCAGGGCGGCTTACAGTGCGTTAAGCAACAGCCTTCATACTTTTGTATATTTTATACAAAGTCAGCTTATTGCCTCCACAATCCAGGTCCTCATTTTACCTACCTCGGAAGGATGGAAGGCTGAGTCAACCTTGAGCCTGGTGAGATTTGAACTCGCAGTAATTGCAGGCAGTTGGTGCTACTTAACAGCACTTTAGTCTGCTGCGCCACCAAGGCTCTTGCTTTTTTTTTTTTTTTTTGGGCCATTTTGCCTTCCAGCTTTGGGTTCAAAGTCTCACCTCTGTGATTCCAGGCAGACCCACAATCGAAGCTCAAAATTTACGTTGCTAAGTGAGACATTGGTTAAGTGAGTTTTCCCTGAAACGCAGTGGGCGACACTCAACAACTCTCTGTTTGGGTTCATGTGCAAAGGAGGATTAGAAAAATCCAGGGAACTGTTTCCCCACAGCGCTGGGGCGGGGGGTGCAGGGAAATGCCCCCCTCCCCACTTCCAAACACGGTGCTCGGAAGCAAGTCACCGATTCCGCTGGGAGAAAAAATGAGACGGGGACGATGGGAACTTGGTTTTTCCTCTTACCTGGGCGGTCCTTGCCTCTTCTTGTCTCTCCACAGGATACCCCGCTGGGACCCCCTACAAAGTCCCTCCTACCCAGAGTAATAACGCCCCGCCTCCCTACTCTCCGTCGCCCAACCCGTACCAGACCGCCATGTACCCCATTCGAAGTGCCTACCCGCAGCAGAACCTGTACGCCCAGGTGAGTTTGGCCGGGCCGTCTTCCGGTCTGCAGGTGTCTCGAGAGAAGAGAGCATTTGTAGCTCTTGAACGGTGGAGTCCTTGATGTTCTCTGAGCTTTTTCTCTTGGAGACGTTTCATGACCCAACTAGGTAACATCATCAGTGCTAGAAGGGAGTGGGGTTTTGCGGTCTGTTTATGTAAAGTGGTTTGCCCTGCCGCCATTTTGTTGTTGCAAACAGCATCAGGAAACCACCAAGAAAACCCCCTCCAACACTGACAGGGCAGATGACTTATATATAACCAGAGCAGACCCCTTCCCCATCTAGCACTGATGATGTTACCTAGTTGGGTCATGAAAGGTCTGCAAGAAAACCACCAAGGTCAGAGATCACGAAGGGCCACACAGTTGTCCTCCCCCTCTTCCTCTTCCTCTTCTTCCTCTTCCTCCTCCTCCTCCTCTTTCTCCTTCTCTTTCTCTTCCTCCACCTCTTCCTCTTTTTCCTCCTCCTCTTTCTTTTCATCCTCTTCCCCCTCCTCCTCTTTCTCTTCCTCCTCTTCTTCCTCTTTTTTCTCCTCCTCCTCCTCTTCCTCCTCCTCTTCCTCCTGTTTCTCTTCCTCTTCCTCCTCTTCCTCCTCCTCTTCCTCCTTCTCTTTCTCTTCCTCCACCTCCTCCTTTTTTCCTCCTCCTCCTCTTTCTTTTCATCCACTCCCCTCCTCCTCTTTCTCTTCCTCCTCTTTCTCTTCCTCCTCTTCTCCTCCTTCCCCTTCTCCTCTTTCTCCTCCTTCTCTTTCTCTTCCTCCACCTCTTCCTCTTTTTCCTCCTCCTCTTTCTTTTCCTCCTCTTCCCCTCCTCCTCTTTCTCTTCCTCCTTTTCTTCCTCTTTCTCTTTCTCTTCCTCCACCTCTTCCTTTTTTTCCTCCTCCTCCTCCTCCTCTTTCTTTTCATCCTCTTCCCCTTTTCCTCTTTCTCCTCCTTTCTCTTCCTCTTCCACTTCCTCTTCCTCCTCCTCTTTCTCCTGTTTCTCTTCCTCCACCTCCTCCTTTTTTCCACCTCCTCTTTCTTTTCATCCTCCTCCTCCTCCTCCTCCTCCTGTTTCTCTTCCTCCTCTTCCTCCTCCTCTTCCTCCTCCTCTTTTTCCTCCTCCTCCTCCTCCTCTTTCTTTTTATCCTCTTCCTCTCCTCTCTCTCCTCCTCCTCTTTTTCTCCTCCTCCTCCTCCTCTCTTTTTCCTCTTCCTCCTCCTCCTCTTTCTTTTCATCCTCTTCCCCCTCCTCCTCTTTCTCTTCCTCCTCCTCCTTCTCCTCCTCCTCCTCTTCCTCCTCCTCTTTCTCTTCCTCCTCCTGTTTCTCTTCCTCCTCCTCTTCCTCCTCTTCCTCCTCCTCCTCCTCTTCCTCCTCCTGTTTCTCTTCCTCCTCCTCCTCTTTTTCCTCCTCCTCCTCCTCTTTCTTTTCATCCTCTTCCCCCTCCTCCTCCTCCTCTTCCTCCTCCTCCTCTTTTTCCTCCTCCTCTTCCTCCTCCTCCTGTTTCTCTTCCTCCTCCACTCGGCAAACCCACCACACTCTGGGATTGATGATGTTACCTCCTTGGGCCCCGAAACGTCTTCAGGGAAACAAGCCAGCTCAGAGAGCCCCAAGGACCCCACAATTCTCCCTCATTCTACCTGCCCAGAAACGTTACCTGGTCTGCTCCTTCTGAAAGGAGACCTTGACCTGCCTTTACCTGCTCGTCTCAAACGATCAGAGACAGAACAGACATTAAAAAAAAAACTGGGCAGGTCACTCTTCAAAGCCGCGTGTCTCAACCTGGATAACCCCGCTGGCCGGGGAATTCTGGGAGTTGAAGTCCACCCCTCTTAAAGTTGCACAGGTTGTCCGAAGACGGGCAAGGAGGGGTTGGAAGATTTGTTTAATGCCCCCAACGGAATCCGGGGAGGGGGAGGGGGAGGACCGAAGTGGACAAAACCAGCTGATTCTGCAGATTGCGCCCCCCCCCCCCGCTTCCATGGAGCTCCGTTGCTGAATTTCCGCGGAAGTTTTTCCTCACTTGCGTCGTGGCGTTCCTTTCTCTTCCCAACAGGGGGCGTACTACACGCAGCCGGTCTACGCGGCGCAGCCTCACGTCATCCATCACACCACGGTGGTCCAGCCCAACAGCATCCCCTCCGCCATTTACCCGGCTCCCGTCGCCGCGCCCAGGGCCAACGGCGTAGCCATGGGGATGGTCGCCGGGGCGACCATGGCGATGTCCGCAGGTAAGGGCCGAGGCGAAGAATACCCCCCCCGTCTCCTCCCCGTCACCAAACACCACTTTTCGGTCCCGTATGCCGGACTACAGGCCCCATCCTGCCCAGCTGGGTTGACTTTGGGGGCCTGGGGGTGTCATAGGAGCGGATTCACGCCTTGTAAATGACGCGTTAAATTCATTACGGGTCGTCCTCGTCGTACGACCGCCATTGAGAGCCCAAAATTTCCGTTGCTAAGCGAGACGGTCGTTAAATGAGTTTTGCCCCATTTTGACGACCTTTCTCGCCACAATTGTTTTATTTATTTTATTTTATTTTAATTTGATTTATATGCCGCCCTTCTCCGGAGACTCAGGGCGGCTTACAATGCGTTAAGCAATAACCTTCATACTTTTGTATATACCTGCTTATAGGGCTTTCGGCCCCCCCAAGTGATGTTCTTTTTTATACAAAGTCAGTTTGTTGCCCCCACAATCCGGGTCCTCATTTTACCTACCTAGAAAGGATGGAAGGCTGAGTCAACCTTGAGCCTGGCGAGATTTGAACTCACAGTAATTGCAGGCAACTGGTCTTAATAACCAGCTTAATAACAGGGTGCATTAGACCACTGTGCTACCAAGGCTCTTCAGTTAAGTTAGTAATATCGTCATTAAGCGAATCTGGCTTCCCTATTGCCTTTGCTGGTCGCCAAAGGGGATCACGAGACCCCGGGACACTGCGACCGTCATAAATACGAGCCAGTTCCCAAGCGTCCGGATTTTGACCATGTGACCATGGGGGACGCTGCAACGGTCGTAATAAGTGTGTAAAATTTATTTATTATTTATTTATTAATTAAATTTCTATACCGCCCTTCTCCAAATAGGACTCAGGGCGGTGCACAGCCTAAGTAAAAACAGAGCATACAAAATTTAAAAAACAGTATTAAAATAATTAAATATTCTGGCCGTAAATTAAAACAACCCAATTTAAAATCAATTTAAAATTTAGCTCAAGCCAGCCCATGGCCATAAGTCTCTTGTTTTCAGTGCTGTTGTAATTTCAACCGGTCACTAAATGAACAGTCGTAAGCGGAGGACTCCCTGCATTGAAAAGCCTAAGCCTTTACAGAGCCTCAGATCCCGGAAGTTGCTATCTTGGAATAAAACGCGTTACAGGTAGTCCTCGACTTAACAACTGGAATTTGAGTCCGGATTTACAGTCGTAAGCCATGGAGGTCACTAAATGAATGATCGTAAGTCGAGGACTACCGGGATAGGATTTTCTTCGTCACCGGAAGCTGCGCCGAGTTCTGCCTTGTCCAAATCTTTCTCCGTAGCTCCTGGCTGGGGAATTCTATGCTGGCTGGGGAATTCTGGGAGTTGAAGTTGCCAAGGTTGAGAAACACTGCTCTACGTTGAATTTCATTTTGTTAGCTAAGGCCCAGGGTTCGAGTCCGTCGAGATCCATCTGGATCTTGAGCCTATCCTCCAGGGAGTTGGCTATTCCTTCCTGGGTGCCACCATTAGGACAACAGCCAGCTGGAGAGGTTTTGCAGGTGGCTCAAGCCAGCGAGTCAAGCTGCACGCTTCGGGAAAACGATGGGATTTATCGGCAGCCGTCCTTAATTTTTCTTTTTCTTTTTTTCCTTTCCCCCGTCGCAGGCACACTGCTCACCACTCCACAGCACACTGCCCTGGGGGCACATCCCGTCTCAGTGCCAACGTACCGGGCGCAGGGGACCCCCACCTACAGCTACATCCCACCTCATTGGTAACTCCCATCGGCCAAATCCATGTGAGTATCTGTGGGTCTCTCTCTCAGGTGCGGTTGTGAGGAGGCCAGGCTAAGAATGGATTGGGGATTCTTAAGATTTTTGTCTTCAGGACATATATCTGCTCGGGAAAAAACAAAACTCCTCATCGGTGACAGGGACGGCATCTGGCCAGTAAACACTCGGCTCCGTTCGGTTTGCCCAGACTCCACCCCAATGCCAAGGATTATGGGGGTCATTAAAAGAGGATGATGACAGGAAGATCCTCATCCCTTGGGAAGTGGGAAGAAACGACCACGGAGGTGGGAAGGGACCTCGGAGGTCATCTAGTCCGACCCGGGAGACCCTCGACCAGTTGGCTCTGCAGAAGGATTCAAAATGGGGCCCGCGACGTCAAACCTGGCTTAGATGTCGCTCTTTGCCGTTACCCCTGCAGGGTGGACTTCAAGAACCAGAAATCTCTCTGCTCGCTGGCTAGGAATCCTGGGAGTTGGAGTCCTTACCTTGCAGTATTATTATTATTTTTTTCCCCCATGCACATTGACTGAACTCCTCTCCCGTCACTTTAAGACTTGGGGACTTCAACTCCCAGAATTCCTCTGCCGGCCATGCTGGCTGGGGCATTCTGGGAGTTGAAGTCCACAAGTTTTAAAGTGGCCAAGTTTGGAGATCCCTGCCTTAGAGCAGTGCTTCCCAACCATATCCATTTGAAGATGGGCGGACTTCAACTCCCAGAATGCCCCAGCCAGCGTTGCTGGCTGGGGCATTCTGGGAGTTGAAGTCCACCCATCTTCAAATGGCTGGCACTATTAAAGTCTTAGCTTTAATATTAATCCTCCATTCACAGAAAAATACAGACGGTTAGCCGTGGGAGGTTAGATAATTCGGCGATTCACAGAATGGCCGAGGGGATTCTGTCTCCGTTGATTTGTTCCCGGTGAAATTGGATTTTGCGCTTTTCTGTCTGTCTGTCTGGCCAGATCCCTGGGACAGATGGGGTGCGTGGGAATCCATCTCGTTCGGCTTCCAAGCCTCCAAAGGAGAGAGACGGAGAGTCCGCAGGCAGAAGTCCAAGCGCAGAGCTGTTTAGGGTGGATATTTGCCTGCTGGCAAAGGATCTTCAAGGGCTCTGTCTTTTTATGGAGATTGGGGGAAGGAAAAGAAGGAAGGAAGGAAGGGGAGAAGAGAGAAAAGGGAGAGAGGAAGGAGGCGAGAGGGAAAAGGAAGGAAGAGAGGGAGAAGAAGGAAGAATGGGAAGGAAGGAGGGAGGGAGGAATGAGAGGGAAAGAAGGAAGAGAGGGGAAGGAAGGGGAGAGGGAAAGGAGAGAGGAAGGAGGGAAGAGAGGGAAGAGAGTGAAAGGAAGGAAGGGGAGAAGAGAGAAAAGGGAGAGGAAGGAGGAGAGAGGGAAAAGGGAGGGAGGGAGGGAGGGGGGAAGGAGGAATGAGAAGGAAAGAAGGAAGAGAGGGGAAGGAAGGGGAGAGGGAAAGGAAGGAAAGGAGAGGGAAGAGAGCAAAAGGAAGGAAGGAGAGAAGTGAGAAAAGGGAGAGAGGGAAAAGGGAGGGAGGGGGGAAGGAGGAATGGGAAGGAAAGAAGGAAGAGAGGGGAAGGAAGGGGAGAGGGAAAGGAGAAAGGAAGGAAGAGAGGGAAGAGAGCAAAAGGAAGGAAGGAGAGAAGAGAAAGGAGAGGAAGGAGGAGAGAGGGAAAAGGAAGGGAGGGAGGGGGGAAGGAGGAATGGGAAGGAAAGGAGAGGGGAAGGAAGGGGAGAGAGAAAGGAGAGAGGAAGGAAGGAAGAGAGGGAAGAGAGTGAAAAGAAGAGAAGAGAAAAGGGAGAGGAAGGAGGGGAGAGGGAAAAGGAAGGGAGAGGGGAGGAAGGAAGGAAGGAGGCAGGAATGAGAAGGAAAGAAGAGAGGGGAAGGAAGGGGAGAGGGAAAGGAGAGGAAGAGAGGGAAGAGAGCGAAAGGAAGGGAGAAGAGAGAAAAGGGAGAGGAAGGGGAGAGGGAAAAGGAAGGGAGGGAGGGATGAGAAGGGAAGAAGGGAGGGGAGAGAGAAAGGAAGAGAGAGGGAAAAGGAAGGGAGAGAGGAGGGAAGAAGGAAGAATGGGAAGGAAGGAAGGAGGGAGGGAGGAATGAGAAGAAGGAAGAGGGAAGAGGGGAAGGAAGGAAGGGGAGAAGAGGAAAGGGAGAGAGGAAGGAGGAGATGGAAAGGAAAGAGAGGGAGGAAGGAAAGAAGGAAGAGAAGGGGAGGGAGGGAGGAAGGAAGGAGAGGGGAGAGAGGGAGAAGAGAGGGAAAGAAGGAGGGAGGGAGGAAGGAAAGAAGGAGAAGATTCAAGCCTAATATTTAAGACTAAGAGAGCATTTCAAGACCTTGGAAAATGACCGGATGCCGAATAGAACCTCTTTTATCGTGGCTCTTTGCGCAGCGGAGGAGAAAAAGCGGAAAAATTCATCCGGCTGGAAGACGAGAAGCCCTTCACCCTAACTAAGCCTGGCGGGAGAGGGAAATTCGAACCCACGTCTCAAACTCTCTTCCTTTCTTTCCCCCCCCCCTTGACAGATCTGGAGCCAAGACATCGGATGCAACCTGGCGTGATGGAGCAGCTGCCCCACAGCCCCCCCTCCTGCTCCCCCCACGGGGGCGTTGCCAGCGAAAGCGAAAACCCGCCCATCTCAAGGGTCCCCTTACGCATTCTTGGCGATTTTAATGTTGCATTTAATTTTTGATTTCCCGGATAAAAACCACGCGCCCACCCCCCTCTTCCCATGTCCCCAGCCCCCCCCCCTTTCCCCATTCCTCCAGTCCCCACCCAATTGAACTCTATTGTTTCTTTCCACCCCTTTGGTCTTCCATTTCCCTCCCATTGAGCATCACCGGGACCTCCTAAGGCCATCTAGACATTCACGATCCATGTGGGTTCCTCGGGGGTGGGGGGGCAGATGGGGGGGGGAAATTTCCCCTTTAGGGTTCTGGAGGGATGGAAAGCAGCCTTTCTCACTCACCCACCCACCCACCTCCCCTGGGAAGGCCTCCCCCACCGACCCACCCCCATCCCCATCATGTTTCCATCATGAAATCCGCATCTTCTCCCCCCAATAAAGGGGGGGGGTCTTCCCATTAATCTTAGGCTGATAATAAGGGTGTCCTTTGGTGCGTGGGGGGAGTCAAAAAAAAGTCAAAATGGCCGCCAGGGCCCTGATTGAGAGACCCTGCCTCTTTTTTTAAAAAAAAAAAATGCATTGGATGGGTGTCACTTTAAAAAAAGGCAGAGTTTTGTCACTTGAGGTTCCGGTTGTCATTTTGGGGAGAACAGACCTTTCCCCCACCCCCACCCCCCAAAATGGACCCCCTGGAGGTAATGCAGGTAGTCCTCGACTTACGACCACATCAGAGCCCCAGATTTCTCCTCCCGAGCGAGACGTTTTGTTCAGTCAATTTTGCCCCCTTTTTGACGACCCTTCTTGCCGCCGTCGTTCAGCGAATCTCTGCGGTTGGTTAAGCCGCTCACACAGTTGTTAAGCGAATTCGGCTTTTTCCCCCCCTCCCCCTTTGACTTTGCTTGTCGGGAGGTCGCAAAAGGGGATCACGTGACCCCCCAGATACAGCAACCGTCATAAATATGAGTCAGCTTTCCAAGCGTCGATGAGTTTTGATCCCGTGACCACGGGGATGCTGCAACGGTCGTTAAGTGTGAGAAAAATGGTCCTAAGTCCATTTTTTTTCCAGTGCCGTTGTAACTTCGAACGGTCACTAAACGAACTGTTGTAAGTCGAGGACTACCAGTAATGGGGAGGTGAAGCAAAGAGACCTCAAAATTCCCCATGTTAAGCTTGGAAGAAATTCAGCACGGAGGACAACAGAACGAGGAGATTCTATGGTGGTTTGTTTGGCCAAGCTAACTTCCATCTCTGCCCACCTGATTACGGATTACGGATTAACAAGAGTTGAAAGGGATCTTGTAGGTCATCTAGTCCAACCCCCAAAAAGTCAGGGAGAGACCCTACACCATTTCTGACAAATGGCAATTTAATCTCCTTCCGATCCATTCCAGTTGGATTCAGGTGGCCTTCAGGATCTCCTCAATCAAAGTCTTCCCCAGTGATTTTTTTTCTGTGGGTGTCCCACCCATCAAAAAATGACCTCTCTGGTCTAGTTGGGTTCTAGGTTGGGTTCTCCATCCTTCTTGACCCCATCGTTCAAGTCAACGTCACGATCTCCAGATGTTGTTGGGTGGTGGCCAAAGGTTCTGAGAACCTGGTTGATACGTGGAGGCACCCAACTGAAGGTTGTCTGGAAATCCACTTGGGATCGGAATACAGGGATGACCCCCCAGTGTTAAAGGAGCCCCCTCCATGGGGCTATGGGAAGGTAGAATTGAGGTGTCTCTCCCCCAAAGGGAAGGAAGCAGTGGGACCAAGGGAAGTCCCTGCCAGGAGAAATGAGCTTCCTCAACCCAACGAAGCAGAAGAACAACGAGATGGTCCATGAGGAGCCACCCTTAAGATCTCCCAAACTGTCCAGCTTGTCAAGAAAGATGATCTCTAGCCAGGACTCAGCTGGCATGTCCAGGAGTTGGAGATGACCGTGATATGCCAGGCCTCCTGAAGGATCGCCCTCTTTGACGTGGACGTTGATGTCCTTTCTGCCTCGCGTCCACCCTTGCCCAGCAGAGAGGGACTTCTGGGGGTAGCCAGGACCTCTTTAAGCAAGTTGGGCAAGGTGGAAGTCAAGTTTGTGGTCAGTGCCACGCCTGCGTCCAGAAGCTTTCAAGAGCTACTCAACGGCTGAGATGGGTTGAGAACTTCTGGATGGCTTCTGGGTAAGAGTTGTGACCTCCAGGAAGGAAGCTGGAGATCAGGGATGAAGGCTTCAACCTTGGCCGCTTGAAGATGGGTGGACTTCAACTCCCAGAATTCCCCAGCCAGCACGGCCGTGCTGGCTGGGGAATTCTGGGAGTTGAAGTCCACCCATCTTCAAGCGGCCAAGGTTGAAAAATATAAATGGTTGAGAGATCATTGAATCCAGAAGTTGTCTTTCCAACATCCGCTGGTGGCTGTGCAGAATTGGGGTCCAGGGAGCAGGGTGGGTGGGCAGCCTTACGTATGCAAGCATTCATTTTCAACTTGTCTGGAATGGCATCAAGACTCCTCCTTCCCCCCGGGCAGCGGGTTGGACTAGAAGGCCTCCGAGGTTCCCTTTCAGCCCTACCGTTCTTCTCCCTTCTAACTTTGGGTTGCGGAATCCCTCTGTGGGGGGGGGCATAGAATAGCACGGAGGGGAATAACGAGAACAACTAAGAGACGGAAGGGACCTCGGAGGTCATCCAGTCCAACCCCCTGCTCAAGCAGGAGCTCCCCCCCTCCCCCCCGGACACCATTTCAGACCGACGATTGTCCAGTCTCTTCTTAAAATGTCTCCAGAGATGGAAAGATTCGCGTTTTCCCTGACCACGGGCCCTTGGACAAGTCGGCTAAATGTGGAACCAGGAGTGGGATTCAACCAGTTCGGGCGAATCGGTAGTTACAGCCATTGGCTGGGCCTGTACCCCCGTCTCGGCGCTATCCCGTCTTATATAATCGCCGTGCACACGCGCTCACATTTTCGATCCTGGGCGAACCGTTTGTTAAATTATGCGAAGGCCAGCTCCAGGCGTGGACCCCCACGGATTTCTGGGGGTTGGTCCTCCCATCTTCCGGCAATGGGGGTCACAGAGGGAAGACCCAGAGAGATGTTGTCGCAGTGCCCATTCTAACTAGTGCCATTCCGTGTCCGGCCAACCAGCCCTCACTAGGAACTAACTGCGAGAGGGATCTTGGCGCCCGAGTGGACAATCGTTTAGATATGAGCCAGCCGTGTGCGGCGGCAGCCGAAAAAGACAACGCAATCCCAGGCTGCATCAACAGGGGGATTTAATCGAGATCACTTGACGTGTTTAATATCACTTTATATGGCTTTGGTAAGGCCACACTTGGAATATTGCATCCAGTTTTGGTCGCCACGGTGGAAAAAAGATGTGGAGACTCTGGAAAGAGTGCAGAGAAGAGCAACAAAGATGATTAAGGGACTAGAGGATAAAACATATGAAGAATGGTTGCAGGTACTGGGCATGTCTAGTTTAATGAAAAGAAGGTCTCGGGGAGACATGATAGCAGTCTTCCAATATCTCAGGGGCTGCCCCAAAGAAGAGGGAGTCAAGCTATTCTCCAAAGCACCAGAAGACAAGACAAAAATGGATGGAAACTAATCAAGGAGAGAAGCAACCTGGAACTAAGGAGAAACTTCCTGAGAGTGAGGATCAATTAACCAGTGGAACAGCTTGCCACCAGAAGTTGTGGGTGCTCCATCACTGGAGGATTTCAAGAAGAGATTGGGCAACCATTGGTCTGAAGTGCTCGTGCCTGAGCATGTGGGTTGGACTTGAAGACCTCTTAAGATCCCTCCCAACTTCAACCGGAAGTTGTGGTTGCTCCAACATTGGGAGTTTTTAAAAGAAGAGGCCGGACAGCCACTCGTCTCAAATGGCATAGGGTCTCCAGCTCGAGCACGGGGTTGGACTAGATGACCTTCGGGGTCCCCGCCAGCTCTTTTATTCTATTTTTCTGGCATGGGGGCGGGGTTGCCCGTTTTTTCGCTGGTGCAATGCTAGGGGAACCGCGTTTTTGGCCCTCGCTAGGAGGCTCCGAGCAGCCCCTCTACTCAACCTTCGTACTTCCAGGTGTATATAGCTGTATAAAGTGTATAATCTTAAATAGGGCGGGGAGGGGGGGGAGGCAATCAGCCAAGAGAGCTGGGTAGGGTTTGGAGACCCCTCCCCAAAATGACCCCGTCATGAATCCTGAGAGCTGTAGATTTGTGAGCCTCTACAGCAGGGGTCTCGAACCTTGTCCCCTTTAAGCCTGGCGGACTTCAACTCCCAGAATTCCCCAGCCAGCTTTGCTGGCTGGGGAATTCTGGGAGTTGAAGTCCGCCAGGCTTAAAGGGGACAAGGTTCGAGACCCCTGCCCTATAGGAACAAAAAACTGAAATTATGCAGGTGGTCCTCGACTTAGCGACCACAATCGGAGCCAAAGCTAAGCCAGGCGGTTGTGAAGTGAGTCACGCCTTTTGGTGTCGGTTTGGGCAGACTGTTCCCGTCGTTAAATGAATCTCATGGCCCTTAAGCGAATCCGGCTCTTCCCCCCCCCAATCGACTGCTTGTTGGAAAGCTGCAAATGGCAATGACGTAACCCCGGGACCCTGCAAATAATCGAATTTTGATTATTGGACCGTAGGGATGCTGCCGCGGCCCTCTGTGTGAGGAACCGGTTGGAAGTCACATTTTTTTTTAAAGCACCGTCGTTAACTTGGAACGGTCAGTAAAGGAATGGTTGTAAGTCGAACTGCTTTGGCAGTTAAGGAGAAACATCTGCATTTGTCCAGATTTCAGGGGTCCCTCCCACATGCACCCTCTCCCCATGAATTAAGAAATAAAACTATTCTACTCTCCCCCACCATCACTAAACAGGTAGTCCTCCACCTACGTCCACCATTGAGCCCCAAATTTACGTTGCTAAGCGAGAAATCTGTGAACTTTCCTTGCCATGTTAAGTGAATCGCTACGCCTGGAGGGGCAGGTCAGCCCTTGTGTGGTAGAATTGAATTCATTCCAGGTAGTCCTCGGTTTGCGACCGCCGGCACTTCCGTCGCTAAGTGAAGCATTTGTTAAAATTAATTTCGCCCCATTTTACGACCTTTCTTGCCACGGTTGTTAAGTGAATCTGGCTTCCCCTGTTGACTTTGCTTGTCGGGAAGGTCGCAGAAGGGGATCACGTGACCCCAGGACTCTGCAGCCGTCATAAATGTGAACCCGTTGCCATGAGTGCGAATTTTGATCTCGCGACCACGACCTCTGCAGCCGTTGTAAGCGTGATAATGGCTCGGGAGTCAAGTTTTTTTTTCCGTGCTTTTGGACGGTCACTAAACGGAACGGTTTGTAAGTCGAGGACTGCCTGGATTGGGAGTTTCTTGCATAAAATCATTTGCAGTGTACACAGAGACAGCTGGCTCTTGAGATGGAAAAGCCCCTTTGCAGGGGTCCGCTGAGATTTTTTTTTTTTTTTAAATAAAAAATTATCCAGCCCGCAGAATTAATTCCGTTAAAAACTTTTAGGACATTTTTACTGGAAACGAAAAGTCTTCCATTCTTTCAACCTTACGGATTTAACCCAGCGGAGTTTGGAGGGGGGGGCGGCGGGAGAGGTGGGAAAACTGGTGTGTTTGAAAAGACCCCCGACCCTCAGTCCGAACTTGTGAATACGACGTGTAAATTCATACGATCATATGATCTCGTTGGGAAGATCGACCGAGGAGGGATCTCCCCCGACCGATTTAAGCCAAGAGTTTGTAACTGTACGATATTTACTGTAAGATGTAGAACATTCAATAACGATTAAACTATTTCCAAAAAAGAAAGAAGAAAAAAAAACAAAACCGAAAATCTTGTCTCTTGATTCAAGCGTTTTTTGTTTTGTTTGCTTATCGGATTCAGACTTTTTGATTCACAGGTAGTCCTCGACCTACGACCACAACGGAGCCCCATTATTTCCGTCGCTGAGCAAGATGGTGGAGGGAGTTTTGGTCCCGTTTTTGCCACCGTTGTTAAGTGAATCACAGCAGCTGTTTAATTAGCACCGTTGTTAAATCAATCCCGCTTCCCCCCACCCCCGTCGACGTTACAGATCAAACGGTCGCAAAAGGGGATCGCGTGCGACCTCGGGATACGGTCACCGTCATAAACATGAGTCAGTTGGCAAGGTCTGAATTTTAATCACGCGAGCATGGACTATGTAAAAATGTGAAAAACGGTCACAAAGTCACGTTTTTTTCAGTGCCGGCGTAACTTGGAACAGTCACTAAACGAATGGACTTTGTAGTGCAATCTCTCCCCCCTTTTTATGCTCAGCCCTGGAATTTTCTTGCGCGAGAGCGCCCTCTGCTGGATCCTTTGCACCAATGCATTGGCAGCTCAATTTGTGATTTTCTTGCCTTCTTTTCGTGCGACGTCTTTTATCCTTTTGTGACAGAACACAAATATTTGGATATTTCTTCACGCAGGATGGAGCTCCAGGGAGGGTCATTCTTTTGTTTCGACCCCGGGGTTATTTTTATTTATTTTTATCTTTAGACGGAGAAGGGAGTCCATCTTAATGGGAGACGTTGCTCGGATCAGCAGACGCATCCAAATTATCCCTCCGGGAGTCCTTTTCAAATTCAGATCCTAAGCCTCAGACCTTTTTCCCTTCCGTTCCAACCCATCCTGGGTTGATTTTTTTGGGAAAGCACCAGAAGGAGGGCAGACGGTTTGCATCAGGGTGGATAAAAATCAAATGATTTTTTTAAAAAAAAAATCCAAAAAATCAGATTTTTTAAAATTTAAATCGGATTTTTTTTTAATTTAAATTGGATTTTTTTTTTTTAATTTTTATCGAATTTATTTTAATAAAAAACTTTTGGGGGAAAAAATCTTATCGTAAGATAGTTTTCTATTTAAGATACATAAATAATTTAGTTTATTCAGCATGAAATGGAGCTGAGTTATGTAGCAGGAGGCTGTATATTCTGCAACGCTGGGACTATCGGTGAGTCAACAGCGGGTCAAAGGAGTAGCAGAGATGACAGTCGCTCTTTAAAAATTGTGATTTAAATCGAGTTGATTTAAATCAAGGCTTTTGACTAGTGATTTAAATCGTGATTTAAATTGTGATTTAAATTGACTCGATTTAAATCAAATCCACCCTGGTTTGCATGCAACTGAACGGAGGCCTTTTCCCCAAGACCAGCCGAGAATGCCTTCCCGTCCGAATTCCAGATAATCATCGTAATAAAAGAGCGACTG